CTTCAGTTTCATCTTTGGGTAGAGAAAATAACATTAACTTTCCCCTCACACACCCAATAATATCCAGCAGAATATCCCACAGCGTCTTCATGACTTAATTCAACCCGCGTCTGCTACAGTGTGAGTCTAGCCTCCTTCTCTTTCTGTGTTAGTGGGCGGAGCTGCAGGTTTCAACTTTCCCAGGTTTTTGCGCGCAACAATTGGGCGGAGTTTAAGTTTCATATCCACATCACGTCAGCACGGCTAAAGACTCGTTGCAGGGCTCGAAATTGCGACCATTTTGGTCGCATATGCGCCCGAAATTTTATCTATGCGACCTTAAAATATATTTGGGAGCATTTCTGCGAGTGCTTAAAATTGTTATGTGCGACCAGTTTTTACTGTAAAATGTTCACCACATGCGCGGATTCGGGAGAAATTCACGCAGAATGCATCTCTGCACTTGCAACGCGAAACGCAGCGCTCGGGAATGGTTTAAAACAGTTGTCATGTCAACTTGCTTCAGTAAACAAAGCCAAGTCCGTAATGCGTGCCCCGCCTTCACGCTCTTCTTATTGGCCCACTGCTCTAGCACTGAACGCGAATGATTGGTTAATATCAGCTGTCAATCACTCAGTCAGCGCTTCTGGCTTGGGATGACAGAGAGAGAGCTGCTACCGCGAAAAATTGTAAAGCGCTGAAGAGGAGAACGAAGATAACACTGACAGATTTTGTTTTAGAAACCATGACATCTAAAGTTATAAATACTGAAACATCTTAGTAGTGATCATGTGCTAAATGTTAATCCACTATCTAAACTTTTCCAAGAGTAGAAGACTTCCATTGGCTTCAAGTCCGCTATAAAAAGTCTGTGTGATGGAGTTTTCAGGTAACTGTTTGCCACATCTAGCACAAGAGCTTCTGTTTAATCTCTTATATAATCGCCAGATGCTGTCCGCCATGCAAGGGGCAGCTATATGTCAAATTGAACACCACGTACACTATCGCGAACGGGCTTGCATTGAGTAAACTAATATCGCTACTCATAAAAATAAACCGGTATTGCTATTAACATGTATGCATATAATAAGCTACAATCTGTGTCAAAAGCATTAGTGCAATATCAGACAGCACTTGTGAGAACAGCACAGTTACACCGTTAACAGATTCATTTAAGTGCGTGCAGGGGTGGTGAGCGCTCCGTGTATCTTTTGCTCACTCAGTTCTGTTATAAAAATCTATTTTCTTGTGATAACGGGATTTCGTCGAGACATATTTTCCTCACGCTTACATTTATATATATATTTTTTATTTTTTTTTGCTTGTTAGTTTGATAAGTGTTGATTTCAAATACAATAAATATGTTTGTATAAAACGTGTAGTAACGGTGCTCATAATTGGTGGGTGCGACTAAATTTTGGCTGATGCGCCTAAATGTTTAAAGTTAGGAGCACCGGTGCTACCAAGCAAAAAGGTTAATTTCGAGCCCTGCGTTATGAAGACGATTCATTTAAAGCACCACGAGTCGACTCTTTTATAAATGAATCAATAGTTTTAAACGCGCTGCACTTTCAGATTTAAGCCTTAGCTGGATATTATACAGCTGTGTTACACACTACATGAAGCTCGTTCTCAAAAACCCACAATAGGAGCTCTTTAAGCTGAATACTAGTATCTTGCAAAACAAGTAAAACAAAGTTATTATGAAGTAAGTTTTAAAAAAAAGTTATTATTAGTAATTAGTTTATTACTTTATTTGTATTTATAACTATTACATTCATAAATTTGATGGAAAATTGTTCTTAATATTTATAAAAGAGTTAAAAATTTCACAGAATGGATAACAATTTTACTGCAACGATGGGGACTTCTATTGTGACTTGTATTGCCCAGATTTACATCATGTGCTGCATTTGATAATAAGCTGATGTAGCCAATAAAAAGGTGAACTGCTCAGCATGCAAACACACACACACACACACACACACACACACACACACACACACACACACACTGGAGGTGTTGATTCACTGAGAGAAACACAGGCATACTGAGCTGCTTCAGTGTTTATAACAAACATCAGCCTGATTAACATTCCAGACACATCACAGGACCAGTTAACCCCTCGACACGCCAACACAAACCCCTTCAACACTGCACACACACACACACAGCTCTCCATTATGAGCATTGGAGGAACTGAAATCACCTTCTGCATGTAGAGCTCCATTAGTGAGTGTGTGTGTGTGTGTGTCTCTTTAAGATCTCAATTAGTTTCCCCACAACGCCTGTGAAATATTGTGGCTCAGACCACATCCATACACACACACACACACACACACACACACACACACACACACACACACACACACACACACACACACACACACACACTGTTCCTTTCTGTCTCAAACACACTCCCATGTTTCACTACACTCTACAAGTCAATCTTAACACACACACCTACTACTGCTGTCTGTGTTTTTCAACTCAACAAGTGCATCTCTCTGCACAAACACACACAAACACACATTCTGTGCATTTACAAGAAAACAAGACAAACATTCCAACAACTGAGCAACCAGAGAATGAGAGAAAAACACAGAGAGACAGACAGAAAAACAAAAACACAGACAGAAATACCAAAACATGGAGAGAAAGACAGAAGATATGGTGAGACAGGCAGAAAAACAAAAACAGAGAAAATAGAAAGACAAAAATAGAGACAGAAAGAAAAAAGGAGTGAGCAGAAAAACAGAGACAGACATGGGAAATGGGAAAAACTGTGACAGAAAGACAGAAATGAAGAGACGGGTGTAGAAAGACAGGCAGAAACAACGTATAATTCAGATAAAATTAATTTAATATTCACACATTCAGACTTTCTCCTTAACATAGTTTCAGAAAAGTATTCTTTGCAAACTCTAAATAGGGAAATCATATTACCAGCCAATGATTATCAAAGTACAGCATTGTTTACAGTCAATTAAATAGTGCTAATGTTATTCTGAAGTCATCATTCATACTATTTCAGACGCAATATTGAAAGTACCATGGTAAACAATATAGGAAGCGTGTCACAAGTTGTCACTGAACGAATGTGCGAATATAAAACCAGCTTTACCTTAATTAACCTATACAATGGACAGAATATACACAGATAACCTCATACAGGAGTGTGTGGGATTTAATAAACGCATATATTGGTGTATAATGTATTCAATAATACCCGAGTCTGATGAAACTGAGGTGAAGTTGGCTTCACATTCAGACTTTCTCATTAATAATACAGCTTCAAAAAAGTATTTTTGCAAGATTTAAATAGGGAAATCATATTAGTAGCCGATGACTATCAAAGTACGTCACTCTTTACAGTCAATTAAATAGTGCTAATGTTATTCTGAAGTCATTTTTTCATGCTATTTCAGACACAATATCCAAAGTACTATGGTAAACAATATAGGGAGCGCTTTGCTGAACAAATTTGCTTATATAAAACCAATTTTACCTCAATTAACGAATATACTGGACAGAATATCAGATAACCTTATATAGGAGTGTGTGGGATTTATTAAATGCATATATTGGTGTATAATATATTCAACAATACTTGAGTCTGATGAAACTGAGGTGAAGTTGGCTTCATATTCACACATTCAGACTTTCTCATTAATAATACAGCTTCAAAAAAGTATTTTTGCAAGTTTTAAATAGGGAAATCATATTAGTAGCCTATGACTATCAAAGTACGTCACTCTTTACAGTCAATTAAATAGTGCTAATGTTATTCTGAAGTCATTTTTATGCTATTTCAGACCAAATATCCAAAGTACCATGGTAAACAATATAGGGAGCGCGTTGCTGAACAAATTTGCTAATATAAAACCAATTTTACCTCAATTAACGAATATACTGGACAGAATATCAGATAACCTTATATAGGAGTGTGTGGGATTTAAAAATATATTGGTGTATAATATATTCAACAATACTTGAGTCTAATGAAACACAATAGTGTGTGTGTGTGTGTGTGTGTGTTAAGATTCCCACTTGTCGAGTCTACTGAAACACAGGAGTGTGTTTGAGACTGACAGCAGAAGTGTGTGTGTGTGTATGTGTGTGTTTATTTGAGGTGAGGTTGCTTTTATATTCACACATTCAGACTTTCTCCTTAATAAAATAGTTTCATTAAAGTATTCTTTGCAAACACTGAATATGAGAATCATATTATCAGCCAATGACTATCAAAGTACGATACACAATTTACAGTCAATTAAATAGTGCTAATGTTATTCTGAAGTCATCTTTCCATGCTATTTCAGACACAATATCCAAAGTACCATGGTAAACAATATAGGGAGAGTGTCGCTAAACAAATGTGCTAATATAAAACCAGCTTTACCTTATTTAATGAATATAATGGACAGAATATACACAGATAACCTCATATAGGAGTGTGTGGGATTTAATAAATGCTTATATTGGTGTTTAATATATTCAACAATACTTGATTCTTAATATTTGTGTGTGTGTGTGTGTGTGTGTGTGTGTGTGTGTGTGTGTGTGTGTGTGTGTGTGTGTGTGTGTGTGTGTTCAGATTCACTTGTCGAGTCTAATGAAACACAGGAGTGTGTTTGAGACAGACAACAAGAGTGTGTGTTCAGTGTTTATGTGTATATATACAAATATAACCAACAATTAACAGAAAAATAAAAACAGAAAAGGTTAAACATGAAAACAGACCAGAGATAGATGAAAGGAAAGGAGGAGCGAAAGAAAAACAAACAAACAAACAAACATAAAAACAGAGACATAAACTGAAAATAAATGACGGAAACACCTTTTCAGATAATCAGAGAGACGGAAATTTGATTTAAAACCACCAAATACGAACATTTTTAAACCATAAGTGATTGATATTCAATACAATATCCCTGAATTCGCGTCTCATCAAAATTCACCTCAGAAATGCGCCGATATTCAGACCTGGAGACTGTTTTTAATATCTGACAGATATTTACCTGTTTTCCTGGACTTTTGAAGAATATCTCGTCGAGAGTTGGTCGAGTTTATCGGGTAAAACCACCGGTGTTTAATACTCCGTCTTCTGACTGAAGCGTCGAGCGCGCGCAGGAGTTGCAGAAACTCGTGAAGAAACAAACACTCGGTCCGCTGAATACTGATGAAACACACACTTCCAGGAGCTTCCACTTCAGTTCTCGCTGTGTTTTCTGCAGCTTTTCTCCGTCAGGCTTTCAGTAAATCCGCTCAAACACTGAAAGAAGAGCCGCAAAAAACTTCCGCAGGCGCGTCACATTACCGTGAACGCGACGCGACAAATACCGCTAATGCCGGTTGCTAAGACACGCAGCGGTCACGTTCTTGCGGGGGCTGAGCTGAGGGCTGAAACTCCCATGACTTTTAGTCCCTTTTGGGATATACCTAAAATAATTCAACAATATGTATAGAACATACGTGAGTTCATTTCTGGTATACATTCTCTTTAGGAAACTATTTTAAAATACTATTATGTTAATATTTATCATATCGTCATCTGCGTAGTCTCTATGTGATTGGTCAAATTTGGGCAGCGCTGAGAAAAGTAACATATTTGTTGTGATGCTAGCGATGGCGCTGACAAAAAATAAGTCAAGTAAATAAAAACTGTTTTAATTATTATTATTTTAAATTATATGTTTATACTTACATCTTTATTTAGTCATTAATGGATATTTTTACAGAGTACCTGAATTGATTTATTTAGTAGTTTTATATAGCGGCACATCAAAGCTATGGCCGGCAGGTGGCGCTACAAGTCTATTAGTGAATACTTGGTGTGTTCAGAGTGTACAAACTGCATGTTGAACAGTAAATATATACTGTAAGCAATATCTGTTAATGAACAGTTTCCGTATTTTGTGATTCACAAGTGTTTTCTGTTTATTTATGGTTGTGAATTGCATTATGGGATGTTGATCTAATCTAATATACAACACCAACCCAGACAGTATAGCACTGCAAACTATTACAAATGGCAATTAAAGTCCCTTTTGACGACTTTTCAAGGATATATGTTGTTGGAACAAAGATCAAGATCCCATAATGACATTCAGAAGCAAAAATAAACCACTTTAATGCATGAATCACAATTAAGTTACTAGTTTATAGATATTTTACAGTGTGCTGGATTAATTCAGCATTTGTTTTGAACAGTATTATGCTACACTGCCGCCTTTACTTCAGTGCATTTCAAAAACATCAAAAGCAAAGCATTTTAATCATTATGCATCACATTTATCTTTATTTCTGATTCATTTGTCAACTCGGTCAAGCTAAATACATTACATTACCGCACATTGTGGTACGGTGCACTGATTTTATGATGACCCACGTCCAGGTGTTCCCTTCATAGTGTACACACTGTGAAAACAAAACTGTTCAACTGTTCAAGACTTTTATTGAATCCATGTTCTTACTATTCTCTTACTCTTAAAACAAGCCAAATATTCTCCAATGGGGTAAATACATTAATCTAAACACACGTTTATTTTGCATACTATATTGGCAGATTATTTTAGCTTGTTTTAAGGAAAAACTCACTTAATTTTGACTTGAAAATTGGAGACAATATTACAATATACAACTTTTATATATCAAAAGGGCATCTGCTGTCTAAAATATATGCTGGAATATTTGGCGATTCATTCTGCTGTGGTGACCCTGGATGAATAAAGAAACTAAGCTGAATGAAATTGAATGAATGTGTTGTTTTCAGAAATAATGAGTCAAAAGTGAGTTGTTGTTTTTTTCTAAAAACAAGCGGAATAATCTGCCAGTGGTGTAAATAAAATAATCTAATAAACATATTTATTTTGCGTACTCCATTGGCAGATTATTTCAGCTTGATTTAAGGAGAAATCTCATTTAATTTTGACTTGAAAATAAGGCAATAAGACTATATTACAATATTAACGTGTAAAATGCTTCCTGATTTAAGAATTTTTAGATATTTGTACCAGAAACAAGACACAAAATTTTAAATAAGAAAATATTTTGGCAGTCTTGAATTGTAATGAAAGTAAAAAAAATCAACACATATTCATTCATTCATTCACACTCATACACTACGGACCATTTAGTCTACCCAGTTCCCCTATAGCGCATGTGTTTGGACTGTGGGGGAAACCAGAGCACCCAGAGGAAACCCACACCAACACAGGGAGAACATGCAAACTCCACACAGAAACACCAACTGACCCAGCCGAGACTCCAACTAACGAATTTCTTACGGTGAGGCGAGGCCACAGTGCTATAATCACTGAGCCACTGCCTGAACTATATAATCTGAATTCAGTGTTACTTCTGAATGGCCTTTATTGGAGAGAAGAGTGTTTTTTGGTTTGTTTGTTTGTTTATCTGTCTGTCTGTCTGTCTGTCTGTCTGTTTGTTTGTTTGTCTGTCTGTTTGTCTGTTTGTTTGTTTGTTTGTTTGTTTGTCTTTGTTTTTTTGTTTGTTTGTTTGTCTGTTTGTTTGTTTGTTTGTCTTTGTTTGTTTGTTTGTTTGATTGTCTGTTTGTTTGTTTGTTTGTCTTTGTTTGTCTGTTTGTTTGTTTGTTTGTCTTTGTTTGTTTGTTTGTTTGTTTGTCTGTCTGTCTGTCTGTCTGTCTGTCTGTTTGTTTGTTTGTTTGTTTGTTTGTTTGTTTGTTTGTCTGTTTGTCTGTTTGTTTGTTTGTTTGTCTTTGTTTGTTTGTTTGTTTGTTTGTTTGTCTGTCTGTCTGTCTGTCTGTTTGTTTGTTTGTTTGTTTGTTTGTCTGTTTGTCTGTTTGTTTGTTTGTTTGTCTTTGTTTGTTTGTTTGTTTGTTTGTTTGTCTGTCTGTCTGTCTGTCTGTCTGTCTGTCTGTCTGTCTGTTTGTTTGTTTGTTTGTTTGTTTGTTTGTTTGTTTGTTTGTTTGTTTGTTTGTTTGTTTGTTTGTTTGTTTTGTTTGTTTGTTCTTGATCTCTGATGTTAATTTTGTGGACGGTTGAGAGAAGCAGAAGTTGTCAGATGATGGTCAGATAAGAGTAACTCAGTGTGCGTGTGGAATCAACACGTGTTTGGCATCAGATATAGAGTTTCTGAAACTCTTTGCAGTCTTTTCTCAGGTGACTGTGGTTTAATGAGAAAAAATAAACCCTTAACCTTCTAACCACAGACTTCCTGTGGTGTGTGTCGCGAGTTTTCTGCTTCATGACTGTTTTCAGAGTTAAAACACACACTAAGGCCCAGAGAGAGCTGATCCAGATTTGAGTTTAGTGTCAGTAAATCAAATATATATATATATATATATACATATATTCGATATTTCATGTACTGTATATCATTATCAATATTATTATTATTATTATGCTGGTAATTCATACATTCATTCATTTTCAACTTCTTTACCGGAGCCGGGTCGGAGGAGAGGACCCCAGACTTCCCTCTCCCCAGACACTTCCTCCAGCTCCTCCGGGGGGACCCTGAGGTGTTCCACACAGTCCCTCCGGGGGGATCACTTGGAGGTGCTGATTATCATCCCAGCCATGTCACACTCTGCAATGAACCGTCCCAGTGCATGCTGAAGGTCCTTGTTCATCTACGAATAACAGAGATGAAATCCTGTGGTCCCCGAACCGGACCCTGTCCAGCCCAAGGCTGCGCTTTAAAATCCTGTCCATAAAAAATTATGAACAGAACCAGTAAAAAAGGGCCGCCCTGCCGGAGTCCAACATGCACTGGAAACAAGTCTGACTTATTGCTGGCAATGCGAACCAGACTTCTATTCCTACTCCTATGAGGATAATAATAATAATAATAATAATAATAATAATAATAATAATAATAATAATAATGCATAAAAATAATACAAATGTATAAAAAGAATAAAAAATTGGTATTATTATTATTATTGCTAATGTTGAACAACTTATTATTATTTCATAATTATGATATAACATCTAATAGTAATAATAATAAAAATGTAAACAATAACCATCATTATTGTTTATTATTATTATTATTATTATTATTATTATTATTATACTTTTATTAAAATGTATGAGAATAATAATAATAACAATTTAAATATTGTTATATTAAATACTTTATATTATTATTATTATTATTGTTATTATTATTTTATTTATTATTATTATTGTTATTATTATTATTATTATTATTGTTGTTGTTGTTATTAATATTATTATTATTATTATTATTATTATTATTATTACTATCATCATCATTATTATTATTATCATCATTATTATTATAGCTAATATTGAACAACTTAAAGACGTCCCTACTGGAACTTTTAGACTTGATATCGATGTATTATTATTATTATTATTATTATTATTATTATGATACTACTACTACTACTACTACTACTACTAAAAATAATAATAATAATAATAATAATAAATAATAATCATTATTAATATTGTTTTCTATAATTATTACTTTATTTTTTATTATTAATCATAATGAGTTTCAGAAACAATAAGCATTATTAGGGACTTAAAGAAGTTCCTACTGGAACTATTAGACTTGATGTAGATTTATTATTATTTTAATGTCAAATTAAAAACAAAATTGCATTCAATTACAAAAAAATAGAGATTATGATAGGAAGCTGGAACACGTCAGCGCTGTGCGCGTGCATGAAAGTGGGCGGAGCTCAGCTGTCAGTCATACCCTGTATGTGCGCGCACCCAAACACACACACACACACACAGTGGGATGTAACAGCTGCTCGTGCTGCATCACTCCGGGAAACACGTACGCGTTTATCACTTCCCACACACACTCATATATGAGGATATTTACACACAGTCGCGCGCGTTTAGCAGGATATTTAAACTCACGCGCGCGACACACGCCTGCGGGAAACGCGCATTTCAGCATATGTTTGCAGACCAGACGGAGAAACCGCCCGTGCGCTCCTCCACCTCACAGAGAGACACAGGCAAACCGCAGGAAAAGTCAACTTTAAAGCAAACTCTCAGCTTTCATCCACACCGGGGTCCGCTTTGATCTGCGTCGCCGCGGCTCCGGGAGCGGGAACCGCAGGAGGAGGATGATGATGATGAAAACCGGGGATGAAGAGGTTCTGATCCCGGACGACCGAGCATTCAGCCGGTTCAAACACGAGTGTGAGGCGGAGGCGGGCTGGACTGTCACACACAACAAGAGCAACATCTGCGTGTGGATCCAGCTGCTGGAGGAGGACAAGAGTTTACACAAGATCAAGGTGAGCGCTGATGAACGCCTGTGAGCATCACATGTCGGCTCTGCGCGTCTGCGAGCTTCAGCTCAGGGGGATATGCTTATTATGAGGCCTTGCACTTGTCATATATTGGATAAAAGCCATTATGCTCGTGAACTGTATATCACGGGGCTGTTGAATGCTGGATTCTGATTGGCTGATGGACACTCTGAGGTGTGCTGTTATGTTCATATAAGGAGTTTGAGGACATTCACTTGACATATGGCTGAAGTACAACACCTGAATAGTGTTGTTAGATGTGGGAACTGTAGTATAAGTGGAATTATTGGAGAATAATGCACACATGAGCAACTTAACCAACTCAGGTGTGCATTATTTCCTAATAATTCAACAGATCACCATCGGTTATTCTTTACTAATTCTATTGGTGTGTTGAATGCTGGATTCTGATTGGCTGATGGACCCTCTGAGGTGTGCTGTTGTTTTCCGATAAGGAGTTTGAGGATGACAGCCTGATGTATGTCTGAAATACAACATCTGAACAGTGTCTTTAGCTGTAGGAGCTTTGAGTTGAATAGTGCAATTGGGAACTGTGGAGTTATTAGAGAATAACGCACACCTGAGGTATATCGGCCGCTCCGCTTCACCAATTCAGGTGTGCATTATTTTCAATTGGGAACTGTGGAGTTATTAGAGAATAATACACACCTGAGCCTCTGTGAGCCACTTATCTAATAATTCAACAGATCATCATCGGTTATTCTTCACTAATTCTACTGGTGTGTTGAATGCTGGATTCTGATTGGCTGATGGACACTCTGAGGTGTGCTGTTATTTTCAGATAAGGAGTTTAAGGACATTCACTTGACATATGGCTGAAGTACAACACCTGAACACTGTCTTTAGCTGTGGGAACTGTATTGTATGTGGAATTATTACAGAATAATGCACACCTGAGCCGCTATGAACCGCTTTACCAACTCAGGTGTGCATTATTTCCTAATAATTCAACAGATCATCATCGGTTATTCTTCACTAATTCTACTGGTATGTTGAATGCTGGATTCTGATTGGCTGATGGACCCTCTGAGGTGTGATGTTGTTTTCAGATAAGGAGTTTGAGGACGCCAGCTTGACGTATGTCTGAAATTCAACATCTGAACAGTGTCTTTAGCTGTGGGAACTGTAGTATAAGTGGAATAGGGCAATTGGGAACTGTGGAATTATTAGAGAATAACGCACACCTAAGGGTATATCGGCTGCTCCACCTCACCAGTTCAGGTGTGCATTATTTTAAATTGGGAACTGTGGAATTATTAGAGATTAATGCACACCTGCGCCTCTGTGAGCCGCTTTCCTAATAATTTAACGGATCATCATCAGTTATTCTTTATTAATTCTACTGGTGTGTTGAATGCTGGATTCCGATTGGCTGATGGACCCTCTGAGGTGTGCTGTTATTTTCAGATAAGGAGTTTGAGAGCAAAACTTGACATCTCTCTGATGTACAATGTTTGAACCGTGTCTTTAGCTGTGGGAAATAAGTGGAATAATGCATTCTGAGCCGTTGAATTATTAGAAAATAATGCAGGTGTATCAGCCACAGGTGTGCATTATTTTCTAATAATTCTACAGCCCATTCTCAGTTATTTAGCCGCCGTCACACTGCAGTTTTCTCCACATAGACTTCCATTCATACACAAGCGAATGCGACAGAGGAAACGCAAGCTCGTGCAAACATTTTAGTCAAACTCTGACCTGCCCAATCGCATCACATGGCCACGTGAGACCAATCAAAGATCAAAACATGACACCTCTGTACAGGAATTTAAAATACAGAGCCATCGCTCGCTTTGTTTAATCATTTTGTTTAATCCCGCCCTTTTTCACTGCGCCGTGCAACAGAATTTCACATGCACAAACTTTAATGTGACCACGCATTATTCCTTGCTTATTCTCGATTCTGATTGGCTGATGGACCCTCTGAGGTGTGCTGATAAGGAGTTTGAGGACGCGAGTCTGACGTACGTCTGAAATACAGCATCTGAACAGTGTCTTTAACTGTGGAGACTGTAGTATGTGGAACAGTGCAATTGGGAACTGTGGAATTATTAGAGAATAATGCACACCTGAGGTGTATCGGCCACTCTGTGCATTATTTTCAAATGGGAACTGTGGAGTTCTTATGCTGCGTTCACACCAGATGCGGAAGAAGCATCAAGCTTGAGTGATTTACATGTTAAGTCAATGCAAAGGCGTAAATCGTCATCCTGCGACGCAATACGTGCGAATGACGCGTTACGCGTGAATGTTGCAGCACGAATTGAGCATTTTTCGTGTTTGATCACGCGAATCACTGGATCTGATCTTTAGCGGACATTCGTGCCGCAGTAACCAATCAGGAGCTTGCTCTTGTGGGAGCTTGATTATGACGTAGCACCTGTTGTTGGTGTCCCGGGGGAAAATCCTCTTGCCTATACCGACAACAAGTTTCTGGAGGAGTTGATGAGCTCACAGAGCTGGATGCACCTCTGAAAGGATCTAGTGGACTCAGATACAGCTTAAAACGAATCAACGCTGTTTTTCAGCCATCACAAACACAGCTATTTTCTCAACACAATCCATGATAGCCATTTAGCAATGAAGCTAGAGTTACCGGGCAGACAGAAGCCCTGCCCATCACGCGAATCCGCGTCTGTTGTGAAGCATTTTTTGACGCGCAATTGAATCAGATTTTTGACGCGCAATTGAATTGGATTTTGACTCGCGAGTGAAGCGGAGTTGGACGCACGAGTGATGCGGATTTTGACGCACTAGTGATGCGGATTTTGACGCACTAGTGATGCGGATTTTGACGCACTAGTGATGCGGATTTTAACGCACTAGTGATGGGGATTTTGACGCGCTAGTGAAGCGGATTTTGTCGCCAGAATGAAGCAGATTTTTGACGCGCGAGTGAAGCGGATTTTTGACGCGCGAGTGAAGCGGATTTTTGACGCGGGAGTGAAGCGGATTTTTGACGCGGGAGTGAAGCGGATTTTTGACGCGCGAGTGAAGCGGATTTTTGACGCGCGAGTGAAGCGGATTTTTGACGCGCGAGTGAAGCGGATTTTTGACGCGCGAGTGAAGCGGATTTTTGACGCGCGAGTGAAGCGGATTTTTGACGCGCGAGTGAAGCGGATTTTTGACGCGCGAGTGAAGCGGATTTTTGACGCGCGAGTGAAGCGGATTTTTGACGCGCGAGTGAAGCGGATTTTTGACGCGCGAGTGAAGCGGATTTTTGACGCCGGAGTGAAGCGGATTTTGACGCCAGAATGAAGTGGATTTTTGACGCGCAACTGAAGCGATTTTTGACGCGGGAATGAAACGGATTTTTGACGCGGGAATGAAGCGGATTTTTGACGCGCGAGTGAATCGGATTTTTGACGCGCGAGTGAAGCGGATTTTTGACGCGCGAGTGAAGCGGATTTTTGACGCGCGAGTGAATCGGATTTTTGACGCGGGAGTGAAGCGGATTTTGTCGCCAGAATGAAGCGGATTTTTGACGCGGGAGTGAAGCGGATTTTGTCGCCAGAATGAAGCGGATTTTTGACGCGGGAGTGAAGCGGATTTTGTCGCCAGAATGAAGTGGATTTTTGACGCGCAACTGAAGCGGATTTTGACGCGGGAATGAAGCGGATTTTTGACGCGGGAATGAAGCGGATTTTTGACGCGCTAGTGAAGCGGATTTTTTACGCGGGAGTGAAGCGGATTTTGTCGCCAGAATAAAGTGGATTTTTGACGCGCGACTGAAGCGGATTTTTGACGCGCAACTGAATCGGATTTTGACGCGGGAATGAAGCGGATTTTTGACGCGCGACTGAAGCGGATTTTGACGCTGGAGTGAAGCGGATTTTGACGCTGGAGTGAAGCGGATTTTTGACGCGCGAGTGAAGTGGATTTTTGACGCGCGAGTGAAGTGGATTTTTGACGCGCGAGTGAAGCAGATTTTTGACTCGTGACTGATGCGGATTTTGATGCGGGAGTGAAGCGGATGTTTGACGCGCAAGTGAAGCAGATTTTTGACGCGGGAGTGAAGCGGATTTTTGACTCGTGACTGATGCGTATTTTGACGCGGGAGTGAAGCGGATTTTGATGCGCGAGTGAAGCGGATTTTTGACGCGGGAGTGAAGCGGATTTTGACGCTGGAGTGAAGCGGATTTTTGACGCGGGAGTGAAGCGGATTTTTGACGCGGGAGTGATGCGGATTTTTGACTCGTGACTGAAGCGGATTTTGACGCGGGAGTGATGCGGATTTTGACGCGGGAGTGAAGCAGATTTTGACGCGGGAGTGAAGCGGATTTTTGACGCGCAAGTGAAGCAGATTTTTGACGCGGGAGTGAATCGGATTTTTGACTCGTGACTGAAGCGGATTTTGACGCGGGAGTGATGCGGATTTTGACGCGGGAGTGAAGCAGATTTTGACGCGGGAGTGAAGCGGATTTTTGACGCGCGACTGAAGCGGATTTTTGCCGCGGGAGTGAAGCGGATTTTTGACGCGCGAGTGAATCGGATTTTGACGCGCGAGTGAATCGGATTTTGACGCGCGAGTGAATCGGATTTTGACGCGCGAGTGAATCGGATTTTGACGCGCATGAGCTTGCGTTTCCAGTCTGATGCATTCACATGCACATGAATGGAAGTCTATGAGGAGAAAAGTGCAGTGTGACCGCAGCTTTATTCTACTGGTATGTTGAATGCTGGATTCTGATAGGCTGATGGACACTCTGAGGTGTGCCGTTAATTTCAGATAAGGAGTTTGAGGACATTCAATTGACATATGGCTGAAGTACAACACCTGAACACTGTCTTTAGCTTTGGGAACTGTAGTTTTGTTGGAATAATGCATTCTGAGCCGTTGAATTATTACAGATTAATGCACACCTCAAATTCACAACATCACTACCTGCATTGTTTTCTAATAACCCAACAGCTGGTAATTCACAAGTATTTAAAAGTTGAATATTAGTATACTGCATGTCATT